TTAATCACAATAGGGACTGGCAATCACAGTATGTTTGGTGGTGATGTTTGCGCTTTAAAAAATCGTTATTATTATTATTATGTTAACTTGGAACGGCAAATTATGTTTATTTGTATATACTTAAATGCATTTCTGGAACGGATGAAAGAACGCTCGAACCATATTGTGTCTGTCCTTATATAATAGCACAGTAGGGAATAGAGCAGTACCGCTATTGTACTTGTCTCTCCATTAGCCTTAGTGACATTTAAAAACGTCATGATAGTGACAATTATGATGACTCGGTTTGGACTCTGTTGTCCAGGGTATTTCGACCTGGCCTGGATGGCAACTCCGGCGGCCAGCGACGTCCGCTGGCAGAGTGTGTGAAAATACCGATTGGATATGAATGCTAAGCGATGGGTATAATTGGCCTTTTATTTTGATTTCTAAATTTAGCTGGACCCTGTGCTTATTGTCTGGTTATGAGACATACCTAGAATTCCAGATCATGCACTACTTGTAGGCCTACGACATCTTGTCCCTCGTGACTCGTAATAAAAATCAACTAGCTAGGGACGAAGAGAAGATAATAACTTTGTCTTTGCAGAAATAAGAAATTTAATGACAGCGTTATCGATCGCTTTAAATTAAAGCAGTGTTGGTATGATTTTTATAATATATTAGTAAGATAGAGGCACTGTGGTTATATCCATTCTCTAATATGGTTTTTATCAACCTGCCTAAACCGATTATCATTTAATTATCTTAATGAACATTCTGAATTTAATCGCGTAATTCACAATACTGTATAACATCAGTTGGTGTAGGCCTAAAACATCAAATGACGTAGGCCTAAATTATTCCATTGAATTTTAATGCAATAACTTCCAGGATTATAAGGAAAAGATCGTTGTGGCTCCTAGTTACGATGTTGTCTTCAAGTTCATTTTGCGCAAGGGGGATAGATTTATCATCATCATCATTATAATCATCACCATGGTTATCATCAAAAATCAATATTTTTAGCAGATAACTAGACAGATAGAAACTTTTGAAAAGAATGTCGAATTTGAATCAAGAAATCTTAAATGTTATCGGCACATTTTTATTTGAGATACAGTAGTACATGATTTTTTCCACAGAAACGTACCTCGTACCGTACACCCCGGCAACCAATATTGGAACAATTATCTATAATAGGAAAAACACTAATAAAACAATGGTGCACGTGTGGATAATGTTACGAAGAATTCCTGAAAAGGAGTTAGATTCCTGTCTCGAATTGGGTTACCAATGCCGAAACAATTAACCTATTTACATCTGTACTTTATCGTTTGAGTTATATCCAGACTCCGGAGGAAAAAAATTTGTTTGATATATATGTTGTACAACTGGTCTCTCTAAGACACAAAAAAGGCTCAGGAACGGTTAACTTAACAAGACACAGATTGTTGAATATAAAAAACTGGGGGTGGCGGGTGGTTGGTTTGTTCAACGTTACATTTTTTTCTCCGGAGCCTGGCTTCTACGGCCAAGTAAACATCCAGGCCACGGATTGAATATGTTTGTATTTTAACACCTTTTAGTTTATATTCCAAAAATACAACTGTAAGGTACGGATATAATGTGAGTTATATAATGTGAGTTATATAATTAGAGTTATTTTAACAAGTAATGCCACTCTGACTAAATAACAAGGCCAGACGCTGTCTCTTATACACATCTAGATGTGTATAAGAGACAGTATATATACCCCTCCCTGTATTATCCATCTTCTACAGATATTGCACTCCGTCCTTACATACTGACCAGCTTTTTTTTTGCATTAATTTTTATAATATACTTTTTCTTAGTAAATTTTAAAATTTCAAAATTTCCCCTGAAACCCGCAACTTAAGTAGGCCCTATCTCTATAATTGAAGGCATATTGCCTTTCCAAGATACGTTTATACAACCAAGCTTGCCTAGACCTAATGCTCATACCCGTACTGGCCCTATACCCGTATTGGCCCTATTATAATTATTACAGCTAATCTTATGAAGATAAGAAATGATGGCTTTAATCGCTGCTTTGGCCTATTTAATTCGTTTCAAAGTCTGCCAACATTATCAATCTCCACTACTCCCTATGAAATGCAGCTGCCACTTTGATTATCAAAAATTCCAAACAACATTAATAGATATTAACGCCAATATATTTAATCTTTTTCACCTCAACAGATAACAAAACTTTTGTCAAGGGAAACACTGTTTTATTAAGGAATGCTTTATCTGTTCACGTTAGTTAACAGAAAACCAAGGTCTAAACTAGACAACATACGATCTGACTGTTGAGTATAGTGACACCATGATATTTACCCGATGGGGTGGGGAATGTCCCTGACGGAGCCACAGCTACCCAGAGCCTTCGTCGCAGGTGATGCGAGGCCGAGCGTACCGTGTGTCCTTTCCTTGTGGGGATGGGAGAGGTTCTCTCTCTGACTTGCCCCCCCCCTCCCTAAACATACAAAGTTTATGATAAAGTACATAATTATTCATGCTCTTTAGCCTTTGAAAATATAAACACCCTGAACTAAATATGAGGTAACTTGAGGCATACCGTATTCATATAGTGTAAACATGACCATGACAACCATGACAGTGCTGTGACATTTTTTACCTCTCTAATGATCTCTTTATATATTATATGCAAACAAGACTCATTCATATGCGTGTATAACAGCTCACCAAGCGCAAAAAATCGGTATAATTTTGCACTGGATGAGATTGTACCGTGTAGTGCGTATTTGTATGTGCACAATCGATTGAGTCATTTTGACAAAGCAACATAAAATATTTCTGCAATGGAATTTAATTTGTTGAAAGCTATATGCCAAATTTAATAATGCCACTGAAAGGTAATTCAAAAAATGCATGGATTTATGGTGTTCGTGGATTATTGCAATTTGTACATTTTCATTGAATGGGGAATGAATTCCCATATACCTCCAGTATTCAATAAATAAATGAAAATGAAAAAAAAAAACACGACTGTGTTCATTTTTTCCGTTATTGTTTCTAATCATTAATAATGCTTTGCTAAAAAAAAGTTTATATCATGGTATATTTCTTTACATTCCATGAGCGGTAACTGACTGCATTACTGGTACCTTACCCTTTTCCTTTGGGACACAGAGTCATAAAACTACGAGACGGGAACAGTAAAGGCTAAATCAACACGTAATGAAGAAAGTCAACGAACCTAAAGGCTACACAAGAAAACCTGTTAAAATATTAGCCAAAAGTGGATAGGAAGACTCGTTTATAATATCTCCATCAGTGCCTATATAACCAAATAGCTTTGACATCTGGTGCTGAGCTGTTGCCAGGATTCTGGTGACCTAGATTTACGAAACCGTATTCATTGTCAAGGCCAGACGTAGACGCAGTAATTTCGATGCTTTTGCAGTAGTCCTAATTAAGTTGATTTATCCAGTCGTTAGAGGGCGATTGACAAGGTTAAGTTGAAATGGTCATATTGTCGATTAAACGTAACGCTTGTTTCTTTCTCCCCGAGCTCCAATTCAGATACCTTAAAGTACTGTATACAGCGGAGGAGCCAGGATTTCCCAGTTGGAGGGTCTAAAATTTTTTTTTAAAAAGCATGATTATGGCACTCTCAGAATTACAGTTTGAATATATATTTATTTATTTCACCATTTTTTATTTATTTTGAAAAGTTTCGGTCGGACCCGGGCCATCCCCTCCCCTTGAATCCGCCACTGGTATTGTCTGAGGATTAGGAGTTTTATTCATTTATTTATTTGTTCTTTGTACTGGGTTCTTCAGTAAAATGTTTACTGTTCTCCCAGAGGGTCCAGTCGCATGACACATTAATATCACAATGTAGCAACACAGAATATACACAAAAAAACATTCAACTATAATAAGATAGAAAGAAAAGAATTACCTTCCCCCAAAGGGGCGGATCCAGAATTTTTCAAACGGGGTGGAAGGGGGGGGGGGGTTGTCACAACAGTTTCAGAATAGGTGACTAGCACATAACATTGATTTGCATTGAAATTTTTAAATTTTAGTGGCAAAACCAGGGGAGACGTGCCCCCACCCCCGTTCCCCTACTGGATCCTCCCCTGCCCCGCATTCCAAATTTGAGAACTCCTGAAAATAGGAGTGTTCCCAATTGTAGAGTCCAGTGGTTACGTACCCCTGAAGCTTTGGTGTTTCGGGAGATCTTAAGCTATTCTAAACGACTTCGAATAGTTAGATCATTGGTATTGTTGCCAGGAGAGTGGGCTACTCCCTAATTTTACCAATAAGTAGATGTTGTTTTGATTGGAGTTTTAATTGGGGTGAGTGAATGTGGTGACCTAAATTCACGAGACCATTGTATAATGGATAACATTGACCTGAAAAAGTAAAGGCCTATCCTAATACAGTACTGGGTAATAGTCCAGACGACATTGAATTAAATCATTTGACTCACTGCTTGTTGTATAAACGCCGATGATATAACTGTTAGCGTTAAACCACGGACTGGTTATCAACACTACCAGTCTAGGTCCTGTACACTTCTTTTTTTTTATAAGAGCCAGTCTTATTGTTCTTATTTTTTGCCAATTTCAGTCTCAAAATGTTCTTATTTTGTTCTTATTTTACACCGCCGATACAACCAGTGACCCTCTTTATGGCAAAAAGATGGGGACTATGAAAGCGGCTGATTTGAGGGGGAATGAATTTTAGCACAAGCTTAGCTGAGTATTTTGTGTTGTTCCCTGATGGAACTTCACATCTGATGACAATTATTAAGTAGATATAATGTTGATATACATTACGGTAATAATTTACTGTGTGACTAGCTTGATTTTTTTAAAGTATTTTTTAAAACTAAAAAATCTCATTTGATATTTTACCTCAGCCTCAGTTTGTCCTATTTTTTTTTAACAATTCATTCTCAATGTTCTTATAAAATGTGTTTAAGAAAAAAAGTGTAAACCTAAATACAATGTTCTTATCCATAGGTAACATTCCAGAATGGATCAATGGTACAATGATTCGAAACGGGCCAGGTCTCTTCGATGTCGGAGAAGATTCGTATAAACATTGGTTTGATGGCCTTTCACTACTCCACCGGTTCAGTATAGAGAACGGCCAGGTTACGTATCAAAGTCGTTTTCTCCGAAGTGAAGCCTATGAAAAAGCAATGAAATACAAACGGATTGTTATGTCGGAATTCGGAACTCTCGGAATTCCGGATCCGTGTAAAAATATATTTGAACGATTCGCATCACATTTTCTTCCTTTAAACATTACTGACAATGACGTCATCAATTTTATGAAGATCGGTGACGATCTGTACACTCTTACAGAAACGCAATACATGCGGAAGATAAGTACAGAGGATTTAACGTCAAGTGAAAATAGGGTAAGTTATACTTTTAAGTTTTCAGATTATCTTATATTATTATGATTATGCCGATTATAATTTTGTTATATATATAGATATATATATATATATATATGTGTGTGTGTGTGTGTGTAAAGAGAACATGAATGCAGAGATGACACAAGTAGTTGTGTGAGTGCAAACCTGGCATGTTCTGTGAATGCTGAAAAGATCGGTTTAGGCGTCCTGAACACTACTATGATTATTATGCGGGGTTTACGTTACAAACATAATGTACTATGAATAATATGCATACCGTATTTACTGTATTCAAATAAACACCCCCTCTAAAGCCTCATATGGCATAAACGCGAGTAAATGCGCGCCCCGAGGGGTTTATTTTTATTTTTATTTTTTTTATTGCTTTAGTCGTTTCATGTGGATTTAAACAATGTATATATTGCAAACCCTAGGTTGATCTATTCCGCACATTTGCCGTCCTCACGCAAAGTTCGCACCCACATAAAGACGTAGATGGCTGCACGTACAACATGGCTTCATCGTACCTTCTTGGATGTTACTACAATATTGTAAAATTTACTCCAAATTCAGGTAATGCATTCTTTCTGTTTACCTTGTGTTTGCAGGGGATCGTTAGCTACGTTCCAATTTTTTTATTTTTTTTTTTTTATAGTTCAAACAAAATTAATGGAAATATCTATTCAGCTCATTTATACTAGGGAGCTTTCGATTTGTTCGACGATGCAACGCTAGAACGGAGTCACTCATGCGTGACCGTCCTACGTTCTCTGCATGTATGCGCGCGCAGATTTGTTAGTGACGTCATTACGTTTTCTACCTCGCTCCATGGTCCTACCGTCGTCGTGAAATCACAAGCTCCCTACTCCTGGGTGGAGAGAGGCAACTGTAGTATATGAAAATTGCGCTGACCTCCTATCTCAAGGTTAAAGAGCCTGAAAAAATAGGTTTGATGATGACAACAATATTTTATGACAATTTCCTCCTTCAGGTCCCGATCCGACAAAAGCAGCAGAAATAATATGCAGCATTCCAGCAACACGGTGGACTAAACCAAGTTACTACCACAGTTTCGGAATGACAAAAAACTATTTCATATTTCTTGAACAATCACTCTATATTGATGTTCCTAGACTTGCAATGTCGACTATGCGAAGAAAAACGGTTAGCTCTGCTTTATTCTTTGACAAAAATGAGCCAGTGCGGTTTCACCTTGTAAACAGAGAGGATGGTAGTATCGACAAAACACAGTATGTTTCCGACGCCATGTTTGGAATGCACGTGATCAATTGCTACGAAGACGATGGTCATATCATATTTGACATGTGTTGCTACGAGGACGGAAACCTTATTAGTAAATTTTATTTGGATTACTTGCGGAACGGAGATGCGCAAGGCAAAACTGAATTCCCATCACCACAATTGAGAAGATACGTTTTACCGTTGAATGTTGGCAAGGTGAGTGACATTATTGGAAGTTTATTATTTTGGTTAAAATAGTGAATTTATAACAGTTTAATGGGATGGATCCATCCTTTAAATGTCCAATCGCACTTTGGCATATACCCCTTCATCAACCTCTATTTCAATAATCAAAACCCGAATGGGAACTGCTAACTGTTATCACGTCACATAATTTCTCTTAACGGAACAAGTGGCGACCAGCATATTATTCTACTTCACAGGGACTTCAGTTGGAAAAGTTTAGTTGCCAATGAACTCTAGATGGCGCCATATTAATATTTAAATTACAGCCGTAGATCTACGGCCCTGTTTGAAATCTAAATTTATACCGTCAAATTATTCCTTTGTTTTCATTATCATTTTTATGTTTTTAACCAAGCAGTGGACACCACAAGGTACCAATCTAGTAACATTAACATGTAGCACAGCCACAGCGAAGCTGCAGAAGGATGGACAGATCTATTTGGTACCAGAGTGTATGTCGGAACTAGGTAAGTAACAACATATTGTTAAAGTCACACATTTTTGTTTTTCATTAACATAATTATTTCAACTACTCATCATATAAATACTTAGTTTTAATTATCAGTCCTAAAATAATTTCACCGGGAGTCCACATGATTTATCTTATAAACCTTTTACAACTGGTGTTTATGAAAGCTTTAATGGTAATAATATAATGTTAAGGATATAGTTTGTGCTTAGTTTTTTTTAAAGGTTTACTGAATATTAAGAATTCTAATGAGGCCTACTTGTTTTTTAGGTATAGATATGCCATGTATTAATTATGAAAAGAACAATGCAAGGCCATATCGATATGCGTACGGAACAACCAATGTGCCAAAAGGAGGATTTGTAGATGCGGTATGTTATCTAATATTATTGTTGTTGTCATATTATTAGTCATATTATTTAAAGGGATCGTTTTTATCCATGTACACGAATAAAAAATAAACATCAATATTTCTCTTTCTCTATAAATCGTGAACTACATCACTTTGAACAAGGAAACAAATTATTGCGCTCTCACTGTTTGGAGGGGCTCTATACTTGCAGTTAATGAGCTTTCGATCGATTGCACGACCACGGTAGGACCTAGAACGCATGCATGAACGTTGCGTTTTCGTTCAAGGGCTACGTCGTCGCGTAAAATCTAAAGCAACTCTCAAATATCTGGAATGAGCTATATGATAGCCTTTTAAAAATAAATTCGCAAAATTCGATCAAAAATAAATTGGTATTCAAACTGACAAGCCACCGCTTCTTTTGATGCCTATGTAAATAATTTGCAATCTGTAATTTGTTGTGGATTTTTTCTGAATAAATGTAATTACTTCACTATCACGACCTATATGCACTGCGATCAGTATACGACCGACACCGACAAGTGTGAGAGCTGCTATGAGAAACTTACTCGTGTAGAAGAGAGGGTCGTCGAGTTTTCAACATGTTGAAAAAAATATAGTGGTCGGTTGGTCGCCAGGTCCTACTTCCGGTCAGATACGACCGTAGGTCGGTACGGCCGCATTGTTAGGTCGCCATAATGTGAGACAGGCTTAAAGGTCCCGAATGGGTACATTACTACGACTGTACTTCTCTGCTAGGATTAATCTACAACATAAATATGTGCTTGCATCAACAGATGGCAAAAATCGACCTCCATACGAAGGAGTATAGGATATGGCAAGAACCAAACTGTTACCCTTCCGAGCCAATGTTTCTGCCGGCACCTGGTTCTGTTGAAGAAGATGATGGTAAGATACAAATGAAAATATTGTGCATATAGTAATTTATCATTGATTTGATTATAATGTTGATTTTGATGCTTGTGGTGATGATGATAATAATAGCAATGATGATGCTGTAACTGCTAACAAGTGTTTATATGGATGATTATCTCCTATTTTGGTTATCAACACCAATGTCCTAATTAAAATACCCGTACCAACCCACCCCCATCTTCGAATTATCAGCGCCCGACCCGCTCTGCCCGTTATACATGGAAGCCATCTAAAGTATCTTATTCTTATATTGCAGGTGTTGTAATGTCGTGTATTGTCAATTCACAACATCGTAGCGCCTTTCTTCTTGTTTTAGATGCGAAAACATTTCAGGAAGTAGGTCGAGCCCAGCTTCCGAACAATATAGAATGTGGATTAACTTTCCATGGACATTTTGACCAACGTTCCTGAGGCTGTACAAATCGCTATAGTTAATAAAAAAAACCGTCATTTCATCACTGCTGACATACTTGGTGAACTCAGGGACTATGTTGATCTCATCTGTACTAGAAATGTCGTCCTCCATGAGCGCGCAATGGTGAATCGTATCACCTTGCGATTAGCCACGCCCATTAGTGCGTCCTGTCCTTTTGCAGCTGAAATCTCCATGGTATAATAAGGGATAAAATCTATCGGTAGACTGTGCCAGTGAATTACTTCTGGACATCAGGACTCTTGTCGCAGCTGAGACAATAAGTGGTAACAACTTCACAAAGTCGGTCATCATCTTGTCCATAATGAACGGAGTCACCTTGGCTTCTACTTGGATTGGTTGTGTATTGTGCACATAATTATGGTGTGTAGTGTGAACATGTACCAGCACGAGGAAGTGTTGTTGATTCTCAGATATATGTATCAGGGGGCGCTACCATTATTGATTGATTATTAGGGGGCGCTACCATTATTGATTGATTTCTCAGTAAATAATACTGAGAGAGAAAGGGAGAGATAGCAATGAATGACACTTTATTCGTTTGCATTCTACAGCATATTCAAAATGCTATGGACAATTTCCATTAAGATCAATTGGATATGTGTTTGTATTTAAATAAAATATTGTAAAACATAAATTAATGAAAATCTCATGCCTGTGCGAGAGAAGGAGCTATATGGTAGTAAATTTTTGATAAAAACCAGAGCAATTAGGCTCATCTGATACATGTTTATTTGTCACGTGATATGCTGTCAATAATCTAAAATTGTGCAATAGTTTTATAACCGAATTTAAAGAGTGAAACCTTGATAAACATTGTATAGAATTTGGTCACATGAACAAAAACTTTTTACAATTATGTATTATCTGCTGTATAAAGCTTTGTGTTCAGCTGGTGATTTTCTATGTAACTAAAATGCTTGGATTAAATTAAACATATTCATTCATATTAGATATAGATGAACAATATTATTGGGGACACAATAAAACATAATACTGTAATAACTTATATAGGCCTAATATATTATAATACTATTTATAAAAATTCATGTACATATAATCATAGCTTTAGAACAACTAAGCCTCTATTTCAAATAGTGTAGTTAACGTTTCCCAAAATTTTCAACCCACCGGTTTCTTATTGAGAAAGATCCACGAGTCCACTTGATAAAATTCGGGTCTATGCATGTAATTAGTCAAATAAACACCCAGAGCTTTTTACTACAGCGCGTAGCCTAGTCATGTGAGCTGACACTGTGGGTCAAACAACAATGGTGTTGCCATCATCAACGAATTATTATCGACAAAGTAAGAGTCCGTTGTTTTTGTCTTGAAGCATTGTATTACAAGTATTGCCATGTATAATTGCCGTCCTCCTCCTAGTCTAATTATAATCTCATTTGATATTGTAAGTCCTAAGATATTTGTAGCTTGCTGTTTTCAGTGGGATGCATGGTGTCATATAAAACTATATACAAAGTAACATGCTTGATCATACCAAAGTAGGAAGAGTATTGATAAAAGTAATGCCGGTACACCTTGAAGAGGATTGTCAGATAAATCAGCTTGTTCACGACAAAGTGTCGTCATATTCTTAGGTCGACAAACAAAAACATACATATATCTAGAGCAGTTTTGTTTCTTACCCGGCAGACAGGAAAAAGATAAGCATTTGCAATGGTTATCCCCACTCCCCCACCTTTTTTTTTTAAATAGAATCATTAATTAAAGAGACGTAATTTTGTGTCCACCATAACAGCCACTTGATGCAAGATAGCCGATATAAAATCGCCAGCTTTGCCTTTAAAGTGGTGATATATATATATATATATATATATATATATA